GCTCAGACATTATAACATCATGGCTTAAATTTTCTATTCAGAGGGCATGTCATGTTCCTCTAGCAGAGAAGGAGTAATACATGCAAGCTTTCTTTTACTGACTACATCCTTGCTAATTCATCAACGGTAGCATTTGATGGATTCAGCAGAAGCTGCTTAGAAATACGTTGTATAAAGAATTTCATTATTTGCTTAGCTGATGTTTTTTTTTATTTGTTTAAACACTCTTGGAAGTGAAGGACCACGTGTTGAGTGCAGCAGGACAGTGGCTCTCCCAAACCTAGCAAGGGCAAGAAGAACTACTTAGCTGAAAGAGAACGCACAAAAATCTGTCTGAATGAGGAGAGTATTGCTTTGCATCAGTTGAGGCTTCTGCTTTACTATTTACTCATAGTTCAAGGGATTGTGTGCACTTTGGAGTGTTTCTAGGAAATACAATGTCAGGACAGGATTTACTGGCGGGGAGGAAGCTAAGCATCATGTGCCACACCACCACGGGGTGAGCTCCTTGTCATATGATGAGCAAGAGCCTTCACCACCTCACAACATCCCATCGCTGTCGTGTCTCTGGACATCTCTGCACGCTATTACTGCTCAAAATTGAGCGAGCTCACTCTGAAAGAAGCTGTTTGCCTCAGGAAGGCTGCTGTATCTCTGCGCTAGTCATCAGAGAAGCTGTGGCTTGTAAAATGCAGGTACAGCTTTTGAACACACATACCTTTCAGTGCACAAATTGATATTTGTGCTGTCAGTCATGACAACAGCCCTCACAAAGGGATTTCGTGATGGAGTGTGCCAATGCAAGCAAAGGACTTCTGCTTGTGTATATTCTTTCTTTTCTCTCTTATTGTAGAGCATGAATGGTAAGCAAATTATTTTTGAAGAATATAACCATTAAAAAAACATATATAAAAAGGTGTCTTCAAGTTTGAGATAGAAGAGGAATGACACTGGACAGTTTGTCTTTTCCTAGTATTTGCAAGAGGAATTTTCTTTTCCTTGTTCCACCACAGGACTCTTTTGGAGCTCTCACCAGTAAACTGCCTATTGGGATGTATGAGTCCAGCAAGTTTCCCAAGCTTTCGGCCAACTGGGAATGCATTGTGCACACCCAGCTCTCCTGCAAAGATTTTGATGTGAGGGAAACTGTATGCATTATTTAACTGTGCTGTGCAGGACTTTCTCCAGGGAAGATCTCCCTCGGCAAACGTGCTGGCCCCTGGGATGGAGACTCCAGCGTTCTGAGGTTTCACCCAAATGCCAAAGGTTTATAGGGGAATACAGAGGCAGCAGCTGTTGTGCCCAAGTGTCCACTGTGCAGGGCATTGCCATCCCAGTGCTGACGTCTGCAGATGCAGCAAGGAAGCTGTAAAAAAGGCAGTGATGTTAGCAAACAGCGTGAGACCCTATAAGACACGTCTCACTAAAGCCTTTATACTTTTTTTTTTTTTTGAGGGTACAACCTCCATAGCAGAGCAGGCACTGCTCGTTGTGTTTGCTGGGATTTCTTTCCATGTGATTTGGGGTCATCCATGAGACCACTTGCAGGAACATGTAATACCCAAAGTGAAGTAGGACTTCTGAACATGGTGCTCCAGTATTTAATGGCAGCACAGGCAAAAGACAGTATATAGCTGGGAAAATACTTGTATAAATTGTCTTAAAAGAGAAATGAATGAGCAGTGCTCTCAAATGTCTGCATTTTGCTCCTAGAGACTAGTCTACACACCAGGCAGGGTGTGTGGTTAGAGGAACCACATCCATTTTCTTTCAAAACTGAGCGCTCTGGACTGCCTTGGTTGGTTTTCTTTTTTTGTTGTTTTTTTTCTTTTTTTTCTTTCCTTTTTTTTCTTCTTTTTTTCCTTTTTTTTTTTTTTTTTCTATTTATTTTTGTCTTTAGCTGATCTTTCCATAGATTTTCTTCTTCCTTTTTGAAAAGGATAACCTACTGATGGTATGCTTAAACCAAAGCTGAACTCCCATTTGGTTCTACTGCAGACTGCAAGTGCCATTAAAAATGTGTATTGCTGAAAAGGCTGATTTACTAAGAATAATAACACAGTAAAACACACATTCCCTTCAGAAATGTATTGTATATTGATTTTTTTTTTAACTAATAACCTTGACAAGTGCCCACACTATTTTTTTTTTTTCCTTAATGTGGTCTTTATATTTTCAGCCTGAGTATTAACATAAATTTTATGGGATTTTCTGGGCATATTTGTGTCTGTATCTAAGATATATGATATCAACTGGCAGTGATGGTTGAACTAATCAAGTACTACTGACAAGTTAAAGCAAATTTTTAGGACTGTGAGATTTTGAGCATCTTCCCAGATACAGTATCTCCTGACTGAAAGCAGTCCTTGACTGTCAAGTTTAAATACCAGATTTGGGACTTAATCTTTATGTAAGCAAAACACCCCAATAAGAAATATGTCTGAGTAAAGCCAAAAAAGTCAGGTCCTCTCCTTAAACCTAGCCTGAAAGTCATATGTGTGTTTGTTTATGGCCCTATCACCATGGTATGTGAGCGATTCCAACCAGTGGGAACCAAGCGAGAGTCTTACACTGAATGGACTTCTATTTTTTTGTTCCTTCTAGCAAACATTTTAAAAAACTCTCTTATTGCTAGAGGGAAAATTGACACCCTTTGCTTTCACGATGATACATTCCTAACACGTTTCCTTGAAGAGCTGGAAATGGTGCAAAAATCTGGTAAGATAAGTCTCTATAAAGCCTTAGAAGTCAAGCATTCCACTTTAGACATTTAAGACAAATGCATGGCAAAAACAAGTTGGGTTTTTTTTTTTTAAGGTTTCTACTTAAAGTTCTGTGCCAAAGCTACAGTACTTATACATTTTCTAAATGTGTTTTAAGCAATAAGTTGTACAACATTTTTAGAACATGTGTTAAGCTATTTCTCTAAGAATGAAGCTCTTAACAAAACATAAGCACTCTGCATGAGATCTTAGCAGCAAAGTGCTTAAAAGATAAAGTAAGAATTGGTACCATGGGAAGAACACCAGCTGTAGAGCACACAGGTCCATTATGAGAAGTATGGTAGTGGGTAGGGAGAAAATGATTTAATCAGGAGTAAAACCAATTTTATTATAAGGGCACGCAGGGGGTGTGGCACCATAGTGAGAGGGACATTTCAAAATATCTGACAGATTTCAACAATGTGAAAACCCACCCTGTTCTTTAAAGTGACAGTAAACCCCATCAGGTCTCTCTTTTTGATGCTATTGTTAACAGTTGACTGTTTAAAGCTGGCCTGCTAAGATGCTGTCGATCTAGTTCAATAGTGTGTGGCAAAATAAAAGGCTAATTGTTGAAATACGATCAATCAAATATGATCTCAGAGTCTAAAGAAGATCCCCTCTGGTAACTCATTTGAGATCAAATCATTACTTTTATGATTGAGGTAATTCAATGGAAGAAAGAAAAAAAAAAAAAAGTCTTGAAACCAAAGAAGCAAGCAAGACAACTAAATGAAATGCACAAGTCTGCCTTTGTTCCAGCTTTGTCTCACATTACTACAAGTTAAGGAACTGGGTCCATTCCTTTATTTGTACACATTTCCTGAATCCAGACATTTAGAAAGCCTTTAATAGCATTTATTAAATAAAAGTTGAAAGACGACTCCATTTTGGATAAGATTTTCTGTCCAAAAGTGAACTCTAGAGTGAGAAAACCATCACGTTAAAGTACCAGGGATGTGGAGTTGTGGGTGTCCATGTGTCTCCAATAATTTTACCATTTTGTTTGACAACAGTTCAATAAAGAGGCTGCTCTTGAAGCCAGCTGAATTGCTACACATGAAATTTCAGTGACATTTAGTAAAACATTTCAGGATTATGTTGCTTCAAATTAAATTTGTTCAGTAGTTTTCATGGTTGGCCCTTGATTTGCATTCAGACTGAAATTTTCTAAAAAAGAGAATCATAGCACATGTGCAAAAAGCAAACTCCATTTTTGGAGTAACAGAACTTGGAGAAAGTGTGTGTCATTTTAATTTGGACTAATAAGGATTTGTGCTTTCCTAGAGTTTTATATGGATTATGATCTCAGTGTTTATTATGTTCTAACAGTATCACACTACTAGAATTAAAAAGAAAAATAAAAAAAATCAACAAACCAAAGGAAAATAGAATAATCATCCAATCTTGTTTTATTTTTATTAGAAACTCTATTTTAGCGTTTAGTTTCTTTTATATTTAAATTCCTTAGCTCAGTCAAGCTTCAAAAGAAAACATTTTTTTTTGTTTGTTTGCAAAACAGTTTTGTAAGCACTTGTGGTTTGTCTTTAGTGTGTTATCATTTTTGACAGCTTTGCATAGCCTAGGTAGGCCAACAGGGGTCTGTCTAATATTGTTGCTGGGCAAATCTTCCTCCCAGAGATGAAAACCAAACAAAATATTTTTGAAGCAGTAAGAAGGAATTAATATCCTTTCTCTCACAGTACTCTATTCCTTGCTGACATTACATTCAGGCAAAAAAAGGAGAAAAGCGTTACCCATTATTCCCTTGTACATAGCAAGGCTAACACATGTAAAGCAATAACTCATTTTCTATTGCCATGTTTAGCATATGTCTCCTGTTGGCTCAGCAAGGCCTTTAGGCCGGTCCCTTGAGCCGGCCATCGTTGGCAACTCTTAGCCCCTCGGCCTCAAAACCAAATAGCTTTGAATCATGTTGAGCTGTGATGCTAATTTTCATACTGATGCATTATGGGAATAAATGTATCTGACATACTGTGTCAATGGTACTGTCTCTTTGTGTCTCTTGTTTTTTGTTAGCTGCATTCCTACAGATGGTATTCCATTGAAAATGTTCTCTTCCTACAAAAAAAAAAAAAAAAAAAAAAAAAAAAACCTCTAGGTGCAGAAGGCTGTTAACGGTTGCTGATGATAGTAGGCAAACATTAACATAATAATTAGTGTCTTGTAATTGTTTCATTAAAACCAGTTGTTCCATTTCTCCTCGTGTTTTCCCAGAAGAGAAGCTGAATTTGGACGACAGCCAGTGGGAGGACATCCACGTTGTCACCGGAGCACTCAAGATGTTTTTCAGAGAGCTGCCTGAGCCGCTGTTCCCATACTGCTTCTTTGAACAGTTTGTGGAGGCGATAAGTAAGTACATCAGATACAGTAGAAGCTAGTGAATTAGCCTGTTATATAAAAATAATAATAAACTTAAAAATAGAAGAACAGAGGCATCTCAAAGCTGACTTACCTTCCATTATCCGTGATCCTGCCTTTTTATTGTTTTTGACTGCCTTTTATCTCCTACAGCATTTAGTTAGTTCACTGCAGGGGAAAAAAAAAAAAAATCAAATTATTGATCTATAAATTTTGTGTGTGCCATTTAACTGTAGTGCCTAAAATGGTTTAGGAAAGGAATTAAAATGTGTATGTATTCAAAAATATGCTAGGCTGATAATCCATATATCCCCAAACACAAGAGAGAGACTAATAATTGTGAATCATGTTAGAAGGGGCTGTCTTTATGTTAATCAGAATGAAATGTGTGTGTTTTGTTCCACAAGGTTGCAGACTCTTGCCTTGCAGTGATCAGATTGCAAAAGCATTTATGTTCTCATTTTCATATCTACCTTTGCTCTTTTTTTTTTTTTTTTAAGTTGACATGCATCAAAAGTATTTTCAAAGTCCAAAGCATTTATTCTGTTACATGTGTCTGTGGTATGCCTGCTGCAAACCTATATTTAATATATGCAGGTGCATTTTTGTAAAACTGCATCAGCTTGGAAAAACTTGAGGTAAAACAAAGTGATGGGGGGTTTTACTCCCTCCCATTGGCAAGAGGGGGGAGAGAAGGGATAGCTTAAAGGGGAAAAGCCTAGTAGGAGATTAATTAAAGGTCCAATAGAGAAAAATCTCTAGGAAAAAGCCAAACCCAATAAAGTACTTAGAGATCTGTTTTCTGAATGACGGGCATGCATATTTGCCATTACTGTTAATGAGAGCTGTGTGTGCACATGCGCAGCTGTCAGAGAATATGAAACCCTTAATGTACGGCTCACTTTGATTTTATATTCATAAGAGTCTTTAGTTCAACTAAAGCTTTTCAAGACCCAGCATCAGATATAATGAGGTTAAATACATCTCACAAGATCCTTCCCTTCTCGGTTATTTAGAGATGCAGTGCAGTTAAACACACAACGTAAAGAAACGCATTACCTGAAAGTTTATTCTTGGCAGCTCGCTTTCTTCTCCCTTCAAAGCACATGGAAACTAGACGGAGAACATCATCTCCCAAGCTCCTGTTGCACAGTCTCTGCAGTGCTGAGAGGGGAAAAACAATAAAGAATTTCTTACTGTTCCGTTTCTGCGATGCACTGGGATGAGATGCTTATTGAAGCACCAGCACTTGAACATGCCCTTCATTCAGGTGGTTCTGCACCCACCAGCTATGTCCTCTTGGAAAGGAGGAGATGCCTTGAGCAGATGCAGTCAATTCGTGGGGCAGAGCCCAGCATGCCAGTCACCCCTCTTAGGCACCTTATTCTGCGGTCGAGTGTTTAATACCAATCCTCTGCCATCATCAATTGCTCTTCCTGATAATCCACCATCATACTGATCTTCTGGGGGGGTTAATAAAGTATTTCTCCCCTTTATTGCTGCTTTTCATTACCTTTTGGTACATTTGGTGTACCTTTTGGTTGAGCAAACACTATCGTATTCTGAAGAATCTTATCAGGACACCATGATCTCATCCTTCATGCTGTCTTCTGCCCTCATCCTCTCTGTGAGGGTCCACATCAGGGTGACTTGAAATCTTTTGGTGGCCCAGTGGAGAGGTTTTTTTTGGTTAGTAAAAAATAACAGGTAACTGGTAATAGACTTGTGAATTAAGAGTTTAAAAGCATGTCGGGAAGAGACTGTCACTAAAGCATTAATATTCATGAATGAGAAATTAATGTCCCTTTCTGCTATTTGAACTATTATTAATTCTTATTATGATTTTGAGAGCCATTATACACATTGATAGGCTAATGAACAGTCATTTATAGAGGGATTTTAAGACAGTTTATTCCTACGAAGAAAATGCTAGCACTCTAAGACATGCTTCTCACCGTTTCAAAACCCTAATTCTTGTTGCTTACTTTACTGCACATCAGGGTGATTTCTACCTAATCCGTCTGTCTGAAGTAATCTACGTTTTCCAATCAATCTTCTTTTTATTTGGCCTTTACTGCTGTAGTATCTACAAATTCGTATTCTTACCAACTCTACTTTAAAAATGTCTATGAACAATTAGTTGTTTTCAGTGTTTTTGGAGCTCTTCTATACGTTAATAGTGCTGAGGCAAAGTAAAAAAAAAAAAATCCTTTCCTTCAATATAATTCCCATTGCAGCTAATTCTTTGGCCACTTTGTGCTAATTACTCTGCCTGGTCAGTACTGAGCTGTTAGAAAATTTCCCTCCTTCTTCAGGTTGTTGTGAAAAAAAGATGCTCTTCGGTCTGTCTTTTCTGTCTGCTCTTCAAAAATGGGAATTATTAGCATGCAGGGCATGGGCATGCAGTACAGTTAGAAGGAGCGCTTAACAATGCCAGGATGACAACTAGGAAAAAAGTAATTAGGACACATCGCCACACTGCCACAATGATTATATCCCTGGTCTGGCACTGATCACCCCTTAGAGCCATACATTTGGTAAGCAAGATGAAGTGGTCTCAAAACCTATCTGTAGCAGGTAGTAACAAATTACTGATAAAGTTTCTTGGGGATTTAGTCATTTTGCTAGAAGCTTCAGGAAGAATGAGTAGCCAAGAGGTGCCATGGACTACTCACGTTGATGCTATTTTAAAGATTATGTGAAAAAGTCCATAGCAAGCTTAGTATTACTTTTCCTGGATGATGCTGTTTTAATTAACATCTGTCATGTGTATGGGAACAAAATTTTACAGTACCATGTGTTAGTCAAAGTGCTTGCTCTCTAGCTTCAATTTCCCCTATAAATAACTGTAGATATGGTCATAATATTAGAACAATTTAGATATGACCAGAATATTAGAAGATAATTCAGAGTATTGTAGAGTCTCAGAATTTTGCCAGGCTGAAGCTGGATAATTACTGTCCATATAGCTTATATTGGAGAATTGATAAATGGAAGGCCACAAGACCTCTGACCTAATACTAATTTTGTTTCTTAGGATTTGGAAAGCAATTTTTTTTTTCCAAGGACTTTGTCTAGTATATTACTGGGAAGTCATTTTGTGGTATTTTGGATGAAATATGCACTTCTAAAGTGTGCTCAAATGCTGCTATGAAGTCAGGTTCAGCCACACTTAAATTACTTAGCACCGCAAATAGTTCTATTGATTTTCTGGAAGATCAACAGATGTGGTTCAACAGATTGTCTGCAAGTAAAATTGTGCTACATGTGAGTAAGGTGGTAGAAGTGCCAATAACTGAAACACTTAATCACCTTATTTACAGAATTCAACCCTCATGGCCATACAAACTTATGCCAGGACTTCAGCCACTGAAACAAACAAACAAAAAAAATTACCCCTAAAATCTGTTAAGAAATATTAGCAGGTAAATGTGCTAGTTGATTACAAATCTTTATTTTAGTTGAACTAGTATTCTTGAAAGATCTCAGACAGAAGGCACAGAAAAAAAAGGAAATTTGTCTACTAGTCTTCTGTGAAATGATGGCTGATATCCACAGCATAGGAAATATTCAAATACCAACTAGTTCTTCCAGATCTTTTCAGCTGGAGAAAGTTGCATAGACAGTGCATCTGTAGAGACAGCGCATCTGTCCAACTGCAGCTACAGGAAAAAAAACCCCTACTGATATTCCACAAAGGAAAATTCCACCAAGTTCCCAAAGCTGCAACATCTGTCTCTGGTTTGGAAGGCTTGACTTCAGGTCTTTGATTTTTCTCTGCAACAGGTTGGAAAGATTACTATGCTGGAAAGATTTTTTTCAATGAGGTCTGGTGATTATGCCTTCATTTCAGTTCCTTATCTGTAATATGAATTTAATAGGTGTCACATAAGTGCTATAGATAAATAGGTGATTTATTGTTTAAAATGCGCACACGCACGCAGAGACAGATGTAGATGTCTGTGTATACTCTAAATAGAAATCTTTTTGCCAGAATTATGATTCTTCTGCAGATGGCTTTCTGAATGAAGGTATCTGCTACTGCTGTGGGCTTCCCACTTCAGGCAGATGAACACAGGGATGAGATTAATAAAATATAGTATTCCAAAGTCTGACTTGCAGTCTTTCAAGTGGAATCCACCGTCTAATATGAGATAGCTCAGCCTTCAGCGTGAGGAACAGAAAACGCAGGAGCCACGTCAGCCACAGAGTCCCTGGAGAAGGGACAGCATTTGTGGGGCACCAGATCTAGTTAGCTGACGTGTCTTAGGTCCTGGCAACCCCCCACAGGATCAAGCCTCCCCAGAAATTTAGGCAAAGTAATACCCCATCTCTGGAGCTCAAGCTTTTCAGATCTGTCGGGAAAGGAAGCATCTCTCTGCATGGGGAAAAGTAGAGCCATAGGCACCTAAAGTTCTTGGAAGGCCACAATCGCAGCATTTAATTATCTCATGCACCTCTGGGGATAGATGGCAGCTGAATAAGGTTTTTCAGAATTATAATGGTGAATTTAAGTGCCTAGACTCTACCTAAGGTCCACATTAGATACTCATATAATTTTTGTTTTTTCAAGATCAGGATTTCTTTTTTTTTCTTTTTTCTCTTTTTTTTTTTTTTTTTTTTTTTTTTTTTTTTTTTACACTTTTTTCAACTGATTTCACACATATTTTTTCAATATATCAATTAGGGTCTCCTGGTGCATGCTAAGCAGAATTCACATGTCATTCCTATCAATCCTATAACGTTATGTGTTATCCTACTATATGGAAAATGAAGATGGTTATTTAGCATCTTACACCTGATAGAGTTTTATAAATTTTTTTGTTATTGAAAGATTGAAAGATGTTAGATAAAATATTTATTAGTATTGCTGGTATGAGATACTGGTCTTTACTGGGCTTGTCTGACAAAATCTACAGTGATTACACAGCAAAGGAATAAACTCTTCTTTCATGAGATTGATAGACTTTTTTTAAGCCCACAAAAGCTAG